GGGTCTATTCCTCTGTGCTCTTCCACTGAAGAAACTGAATCCACAAAAGAAATTTTGATGCAAGCAGAAGATTTATTGGGAGGGAAAGGAGTGGAGTTGATATAATTTACAGTGAAGCAGTTTCAGGGATGACAAACATACCTTCTTTACTCAGCAAACAGTGGCTTTTCCACTGCCCATTTAACTGAAAGGCTACAAAGCAAATGAATACAGATGTGAATGCAGGCAGGAAGACCTTTGTGGACTCCTTCAACATTTACGAGGCCCACAGAGGAAAAATGCTCATACCCTTCTCATCTCAAATTCAACATACGTTAAGGAAAATGAAATGAAGCATGTTGTAAGAATACACCTGTAGCACTTGTTAGTCTTAACTAACAAGTATAAAGTGTTACCTGCACCTCTAGGTTTGTAATGGTCTGATGAGTGCCCCTTACCAAGGCGGGTAAAATGTTAAAGGAAAGTTAGCTGGAATGCAACACAAGGTTATTTAAACAATAAATAGTTTATTAGCTAAAGACAGGCAAGAAATACAAAACAGAATACTTACTTTCAAAAAGGCAAACAGTCAGTGGTTAAAACATGCAGAACAAAAATTCCCCCATGCACAGAGGCCTCTGGACTGGCTCCCAGAGGGATCACGAAAGACAATGCCTTCTCTGGATCTCTGAGAGTCAGTAATGAAATGAAGCTTCTGGCCTCTTTTTATACCATATTGGTCCCATACAGTTTGATAGAGCTATAGAAAGTATAAACTGCAGCAATTAATTTAATTGCTCTGGTAATGTGGGCCATCATGGCCTAGGAAATGTTCACACATTCCAGAGGCAATGGGGGCACCCTGCTGCTCCTTTGCAAAACAATGCAAGATAGCATTTAAATCTCTAAATGACAAAGAACACGAATGTTAAGATTTCAGGATGTTCTTTGTTCCCTTGACTCAGAGCAGACAGCCAGGCACTGTCTGCTGGCTGGAGGTAAGATGTAGGTTTCTGCATGTAGGCAAACCATTAGTATTGCAGATATTCTGGCTTCCTTGACACAATGGCAGGTGCATACCAATCTTTTATTTCTTAAATGTTTCCAAATTCTTTAGGTTCATGAACAATGTAATGCAAATGTTGGTTCCTGTGTAAGATGGAGGAAAGATATCTCTTGAGACAAAGGCCTAGCAAAATCATGTTGGGGGTCATGTTCATTGTGCTGCTTGGAAAGTTACAGAAATAGAGGAGAGAGAGAAAAAAAACATGATTTCTTTATAAAATTAACTGTATAAATGGGGTATAAATTTTCTGAACCAACTATTTTATTTTTCTCACAACAAAGCATAACAAAACAAAAACCTTTCAAGGTATCAGTACAGAGAGTACAAATTATCTATCACTTCTTCGTGCTCATGAGAATTTGAGATGTTATTAAGAGCCAACTGATTTTCATTGAAAATGGAAAGTGTCATTCCTTGACACCCAAGTCCATGAAGTTGTCAGCCGTCGATCCGTTCCATTCTTTCAGGTACCCGTTTCATTCCCATTCTTGTGACGTTCCCCTTTCTGCTTAACAGAGGCGACCACAAGGGGGGCAGCCAGAACAGGCCGTGTACCCTCCCGCGCGGAGAGGCTCACAGCTGGCAGCCAGAACTGGCCCTGGGACTGTAACAACACAAGGAGGTGGCTGTATGGTGACTTCCGAGGGTGGGATCTGGTTGATGCAGGAGATGCTGGCCCCACTGGTGATGCCATGGCAACGCGCTGACGTGGAGCTACCACAGCACGAAGAGGGGCCGCATGGACTGGGGCAGCAACCCAGTTTGCCCAGACCGCCTTTTGGGTAGTCACATGGGGAGCAGCATGGGGAGCATGGGGAGCAGGATGGGATGGCACAGGATGGAGGACAGCAGGACATCTTGGGAAGGTGGCGGCGAGTCTGGAATTACATTAGGAAAGGATGGGAAGTGTCAACATGAGGGTCTGAAGAATAAACCACTTACAGTCTGAAGCGTAACTTTTTCTCCCCGGAAAGTGTGAGGGTCAACAAGTTGGTGAGATGGATAAATGCATAGGTTTTTCATAAAAGATTTTTTATGGCTTGAAGTACTACATCTAACCTAACCTCCTGAAATGAACTTTGGACTTCTTTTCAGACTGAGAAATGCAAGATGGAAAGGTATTTAAAATATTGCTGGCTTGGTTTAAAAAAAAAAAATCAGAGGCAACTCCTTTATTATATGTGTAGCAAAGCTACATCTGAATCCAGGAGCACCTTAGACACCAACACGATTTTAAGCTTTCAAGAGTCTAAACACCCTTTGTCAGGTATCTGTAGCAAAGTAACAATGCTTTCATACTGCGGCAGAGAGTAAACTGAAGAGTACATCAATGGACAAGGAATTAACATTTGAGAGGGTCTCAGATTAATTTCTTTGTTTCTGTCCTTACATTCCTAGGACTTCTGCTTGGAGAAAGTTGATGGACAGCATGGTATCTGGGTGGTATCTGCTGCCATTTCAGATACAGAAAGGGTAGTTAAATGAGTCTGGCAGTGGTTGGGAGCAAATCTTTAATGCCTTGCTGAGTTTGTCTGGACAGGGAATGCCAGAAGGAAGTGATGCAAAATGTGTAATGCAAGACAATGAGAAAATATCTACTGACATTCCAAAGATTACCTATAAAATTTAAAGCTTAGCTAGGGTTGTCAGCTCCAGGCACAGAAATTCCTGCAGATTTGGTAGTGGACCACAGGAGTGGCAGGGTTAGAAACATGATTAGGAATCCGTGGGAACAGGAAGGGGAAGTAAGGAAGGGGACAGGAATCAGCGGGGCAGAAAGACATTGAGTCCCCATACCTGAAGTGACCACTTTTCTGCAGGTGGAATTATCTGTGAGGTCTGGAGTTCAGTTGTGGTTCCAGGAGTTTGCCAGGACACACCCGGAGGTTGACTACCTTACAATTAGTGGATAATCGAGTGCCTGGAACTTCCACTTTGCATTTCAATCATGAAGATGTTTCAAATAGGCTCTGGAGAGGCAACATACAAATTTTCTCTGTACATTTCTACATTAAGGCCAATACATTTCAGAGAGTGACACCTGCATTCCCCCCTTTTCTCCCGATGCCTAGGGATCTCAGGTACCCTCTCCCTCCCTCCCTTCCTTCCTTCCTTCCTTCCTTCCTTCCTTCCTTCCTTCCTTCCTTCCTTCCTTCCTCCCTCCCTCCCTCCCTCCCTCCTTCCTATCTTTCTAACCGTGTATATTGTAAACAAGAAGAAAAACCTATAATGGACTTACCAAGGGTAGTACCAGAGGAGAAGCAATGAACTGAAGCTGAGCAGAGTTGTGGAGCTTTTATGCACGTGAGAGAACAGCTCTGAGAGAACTGTGACTGACCCAACATCACCCAGCTGGCTGCATGTGGAGGACTGAGCACTGGGGAATCAAAGCTGGTTCTGCAGACTAGAGTTCACTGCTCTTAAGCACTACACCAAACGGGCATAACGGGGGAGGACTTTCAAGGTGAGAGGACAGAGAATACAAATTAACTATCCCTTGTTTGTGGTTTTAAAGCCCTATATGGTTGGGGGCCGGTCTACCTGAGGGACTGCCTTTCCCCATATGTCCCCCAGAGAGCACAGAGGTCAGGGTTGCAAAATTGCCTGACTCTCCCTGGTCTGAAAGACGCCAGATTGGCCATCACCAGAGCCAGGGCCTTCTCAGTGGCGGCTCCACGCTGGTGGAATGAGCTCCTGGAAGACATCAGGGTCCTGCGGGATCTCTTACAGTTCCGCAGGGCCTATAAAATGGAGCTCTTCCACCAGGCTTTCGATTAGGAGCGCCACTGATAAATGAGTGATCGAAAACTGAACATGCTACTGGCCTCATGTTACAACTTTGGATATTGGCCTTCCTACAGCGAACCATCTTATAGCAATCGCCATCTGCACTGACTTGCATTTTATGAAAATTGTTTGTCTATGTGAAATGTTTATTGTATTTTATTGTTTTTATTGTATTTTAACTTGTACGCCGCCTTGAGCCAGTTTGCGTGGGCAAGGCGGGATATAAATCGAAAGTAAATGAAAAAAACAAAAAAACAAAAAAACAAATAAATAAATATATTCCTGTTCAGGAGCAATAAAAATAAACAAGGACTAGTAGACAGGAAGCTGCAGAGATGAGGTACCTTTGTGTTGTCACTTGGATTTCCCAAAAGTGCCTGGCTGACTGCACAACTAGAAGGATCTCTGTGCTGGCCCAGCAACCATGTGAACAAGCAAAGTTGCCTTTTACTGGGTCATTGAACTCAAAGTGGACTCCTCTAAATGGCATCAACTCATCATAGTATCGTGTCCCTTCTCAACATCTGCTGCCTTGGATCGAGGACCCCAATATGGAATCTGGATCTATTCCTGTGTGCTCTTCCAATGAGCAATGACCCCTCCCCGATTTTCAACTCCTTAGAAATAGGAAGAAACTGAATCCACAAAAGAAATTTTGATGCAAGAAGATTTATTGGGGGGAGGAGGGGCTTAATATAATTTGCAGTGAAGCAGTTTCAGAGATGACAAACATATCTTGTTCACTCAGCAAACAGCAGTCCTTCCACTGCCCCTTTAGCTGGGATAACTGAAAGGCTACAAAGCAAATGACTACAGAGGTGAACACAGGCAGGAAGACCTTTGTGGACTCCTGAAACAATTAGGAGGCCCACAGAGGGAAAATACTCATACACTTCTCATCTCAAATTGAACATAAGGAAAATGTAATGAAGCACAAAAAAACAAAACAAAAACCCTTTCATGGTAAGAGTACAGAGAATACAAATTAAATATCACCCGTCCCTGGTTATGAGCACTTGAGATGTCATTAAGTGCCAACTGATCTTGATTTGATCTGGGAAGTGTCATTCTTTCTGACACCCAAGTCCATGAAGTTGTCAGCCATCAGTCCATTCCATACTGTTCAGGTAGCCGTTTCATTCCCATTCATGTGAAGTTCCCCTTCTGCTTAGCAGAGGCGGCCACAAGGGGGGCAGGCGGCACAGGCCGTGTACCCTCCCACGCGGAGAGGCTCACAGCTGGCAGCCAGAACTGGCCCTGGGACTGTAACAACACAAGGAGGTGGCTGTATGGTGACTTCGGATGGTGGGATCTGGTTGATGCAGGAGACGCTGGCCCCACTGGTGAGGCCAAGGCAATGTGCTGATGTTGAGCTACCCCAGCATGAAGAGGGGCCGCAGGGACTGGGGCAGCAACCCAGCCTGCCCAGACCGCCTTTTGGGTAGTCACACGGGGAGCAGCATGGGGAACATGGGGAGCAGGATGGGATGGCACAGGATGGAGGACAGCAGGACATCTTGGGAAGGTGGTGGCGAGTCTGGAATTACATTGTGAAAGGATGGGAAATGTCAATGTGACGTTCTGAAGAATAAACCACTTAAAGCTTGAAGCGTACCTATTTCTCCCCGGGAGTGAATCCTATTCATCTCAGAACAAATGAGGGTAAACAAGTTGGTGAGATGGATAAATGCATAGGTTTTTCATAAAAGATTTTTTTATGGCTTGGGCTACTGCATCTAACTTACCCTCCTGAAATGACCTTTTGGCTAATTTCAAACTAAGAAAAGCAAGACAAAAAGGTATCTAAAAGATTGCTTGCTTGAGTTTGTTTGTTTGTTTTTTTAAAATGTGTAGTAAAGCTAGATCTGAGTCCACCTTGCAGTTCATTCACGAGGATGTTTCAAATAGGCTCTGGAGAGGCAACATCCAAATCTTCTCAGTATGTTTCTACATTATGGCCAATACATTTCAGAGAGGGACAGTTGTCTCCCTATGCCTAGGGATCTCTTCCGGTGCCCTCTGCTTCTTTCCTTTCTTTCTTCTGATTTGAACATTGAGAGATAAAAATGCAACTGATCACATCAAGATTCCCCCCCCCCCAAGCAGAAACTTCCTAAACTTGCGTTCTGTCTTTCTGTATTACCGTATATATTGTAAACAAGAAGAAGGTATAATGGACTTACCAAGGGTTGTAGCCGAAGAGAAGCAAGGAAGTGATGCTGAGCAGAGTTGTGGAGATGGTTGAAGGTGGCAAGAGCTTTTATACGATCTCTTAAGAATGTCAAATAGGTGATTGTTTTCGGAGTGTCTAATTTGCTAAATGTTTGAAAGCTCCCCATGGCACTTGTTTAAGGTGTTTAATGTCATATTAGAGGGTTAACACATTTTGCCCTGCCATTTCCCCTCATCATACAGTATTATAGGAGTCAGTTCTACACAATTGTACATGAGTCAGTTCAGAAATGAACCTGTGGGATCTCCTGTCTGACCAGAGTGGAAGCAAATTGCCTCCTTTTCCCGTAATGCAGACCTTTTCATATACCAGTATTTTAATGTTTGGCCCTTCCCTGTGGCCCTCTCCTGGGATCCTCAATTGGGGTTCATCCCCCAAGTCCTCTCAAAGTATGGCTGCCCGGTCACTTCTGACTGCCCCAGAGCTCATTCACTTCCTGAGCCTTGGTGGGCTCTGGGTGGACATTTTTGGGGCATGGTTATTCCGTTGTTATGCTGAGCTCCTTCGTCCTCATTCCCTGGAGTTGCGGCTTGCCATTGACTTCTGCATGGCTCCAGCACTGTGGTGCCCAGTTTCCCCCTCACTGGCCCATCACTGGCATCTGAAGGAACCACCAACCACATCTAGCCCCACTTCTCCATCAGCAGTTGTTGTTGTTGTTCTTCAGTTGCAGAGTCAAGTCCGACTCTTCGCGACCCCATGGAGAAGATCACGCCAGGCCCTCCTGTCTTCCGCTGTCCTCTGAAGTTTGCTCAATTTCATGTTTGTTGCATCTATGACACTGTCCAACCATCTCATCCTTTGCTGACCCCGTCTTCTTTGACCTTCAATCTTTACCAGCATCAGGGTCTTCTCCAGTGAGTGCTCCCTTCTCATTGGGTGGCCAAAGTATTTGAGCTTCAGTTTCATTATCTGGCCTTCCAGGGAACAGTCAGGGTTGATTACTTCTAGGATCGACTGATTTGATCTCCTTGCAGTCCAAGGGACTCTCAAGAGTCTTCTCCAGCACCATAGTTCAAAAGAATCTATTCTTCGGCGCTCGGCCTTCCTTATAGTCCAACTCTCGCAGCCATACATGACTACTGAAAGACTATTGAAAGAGGTAGTCAATCTTTAAAGGTACAATTGTGGTCTTAGGGTACTGTCTCAGTGATGATCTGGTTCTGTTGAAGCACCCCATCACCACCTGGACTTTGGGGGTGGCATGACACCATTGCTTTCCATTGAGTAAAGTTCATTTCTACCATCTCCCTTCAACTATTCCCCATTTTCAGACTTTGATGAGGAAGAGAACCTCAGTTTACCTGCAGATTTCTTATTTTGTTGTCTTGCTTTACGATTCTTACTAGAGGTTCCTCAAGTAACTGGACTCTGTCCCTTTCTTAAGCAAAATTTAGCTAATCTTTCTGAAAGACAGTCTGTTGTGTTGCCCATTTGGAAAACCATTATTTTAAGGATTCCATGAAGCAATTACCAAACTACCAGTAGAAGGAGAAACAGCGGGCTGATTCAGGTGTATCATCCAAAGATTGTTCAGTACCGGCCTGGTCTGAGCTTAAATATTCTCCTCCCCCCTTTCTTCTTGTTTCAAAGAAAAATGACCCCCTCCTAACTTATATGTGAAACAATTTATTCCAAGGGGAGAGAAGATATCTCCCACATTCCAACACCAGTTGCAATAACTTAAAAAGGGAATATGCTATTAACTCCTTCCAACCTGGTGCTGACATCTAGACACTTGCATACAAAGAGACTTGTGGTCTCCTCTATCTTCTTGTATTAACAGTGGTCTTCCACAATATCTGTCTACAGGTAGACATCCTTAACACATGAAAGTAGACTCTTTTTCTCAGTAGCAGCCTCTGTGGTTATAATTCCATATTCTTACTTGGGTCTGGGATTCTTGAACTCCTAAACTTTCAGGAGTCCCCACTAGAGGGGATGTGATTATTATAATAATTAAGGCTTTGATTATGTCTCTGTGAAGGTTGGTTTGTAGGATGGACAGCCAAGTCGCTGTAGTGGTTAAGAGAGGCAGACTCTAATCTGGACAACCAGGTTTCATTCCACCTCCTCCACATGAAGCCTTCTGGATGACCTTTGGCCTTCTACAGCTATCTCAGAACTCTCTCAGACCCAGGTATGTCCATAAGTGCCTGCTGTGGGGAGAGGGACTTCAATTGTAAGTCACTTTGAGACTCCTTAAAGTAGAGATGTGGGGTATAAAAACCTACCCATCTTCTCTTCTTCCTAGTGGAAAGGGATTCTGATATATTGTCCTGGGTGGAATGGGATGCTGAGTTATTGTCCATTCTGGATGTCAGGCCTGGTGGGGTTATGGTAAGATCTAAATATCATTAATTATAGGGTTAACATGTTTGTTATGATTCTATCAGAGACCTGACCAGGAAGTGCAACCTGACTCAGAGCCAATCCTGAATGTCATTTGTTTTGTTTGAGAAACTGATTGGATGGTTTTAATTTACCAGTGTTGGAGTTGGGTAATGAGCTTGAGCTTCTTCCTGTTAAGGTTCTAGAAGCGAGGTTACTTGCTCAGCAGGCTCACCCTAAGCTTTTACAGCCTAATTTGCTGTATAAATATGCAGGTTATGACTTTATTAGAACTTTATTAGACTTTATTAGAACTTTATACAACTTTATTGGACACAATGACCTCTTCCCAGCCGTTGCCGTGACTGAGTTGGGGTGTACATGTATATATATACTTTACTGGATTCAGAGATTGTACTCTGATGTTACTGATCACCTTTACTTTCTCAGGGCTGACCAGTTCACACTAAAAAGCAGTCTCTTCGGGGTTTATATTTCTTGTGGATGGATTAAGGACAACTGCCAGATGTAGATCTTTATCAAAAAGGTACGCACCAGTGCTTGTGAAAGAAAACAAAACAGGGGGGCGGGATATTTATACAGGATATTTTGTTTCTTTATAGAATAAAAACCTCACTCTGCCTTCACATAGGCTGTATCTAGAACTCTAAGTTTGTCACAGATTGTATTTAGTACACAGAAACCATTTGAGATTCCACTCTCCAGTAACTGACTGTGGTTAGCCTTTGGATTTTATCCACCTGGTTCCCTGAGACTGACTGGTGTGACTACACCAGTTTTCCCAGTCTCCTCCAGACCCTCAGTCCTTCCTATAACCACTTTACAGGTTCCCTTGGAGCAGTGTATATGGTGTTTTATGTTTACTGGGGAATTATACTGTTTCTCCTCTCCATTCACTCTCCTCTCTCATTAGAGGGTACCAGTTGGGAGTGTTATTCAGCCCCAGTTTTCCTCAAACTGCTGGCTTGCTGTATAACTCAGCTCCAGAGGTTCATTTTCTCTCAAGAGCTCTTCAGCTAACACTCTTCCAACTGATTCTGTTAACTGTCAGCTCTCAACTGTCAGCTGTCACTTACTGAGAATTCTGAGCAATCTTGCCCCCCCACTCTCAGTCATGTAACCCAGCATCTCTCTTGTTTACCTGTTGCTGTCCACCGAACTTTTATTTCCGTCACACACCCATTCATAACAGATTTAGATAAAGAACTTTATTTTCATTAACAACTGTGCCTTATTTACCCAACAAGGCCAACATTGGTATTTTTTCTGATTGGCTCAATTAAAGCCTCCATTTTTGATCAAAAAGGATTTCAACCTCTGACTGTCTGTAGGTTGTTTGAAGAAGTTATGACTTTCCCTGACAATGGCGGCAATGAGGAATTCTCAGGATTATTGGCACTTGCCCTATCCATGTCCTTCAGGTTCAGCATGTTGTGGCTTCTCACTTTTATTATTGTGGTTAGATATGGTGTGTCTTTCACTTTCTCATTATTTCCCATTCTTTGCTTTTATTTCTCACTCTTCCTCTAGATATTTAATGCTGCCACCAGAAATTTAAACCCAATCTTATTATTTAACCTTTCTTATAGTATCGTGCCCAAGTTCTAAGGCCCCTTCATTTGACTACATAGTCCGGAGGATGAGACTCTTGGATTTTAATAGGATACGTCTCCGGGTTTTCATAAAACAAAATAAAGCTTTATTTGTACAAGAAGTGTGTTGGTTTCAGGAAGTTTAGCAATTTATCTCTTCAGTAAATAAAACAGTGGGTGCTAAGCTTCTCTGACTAAGTTGTTCTCTTCAGAATTCCTCTTCTCAATGAAATCTTCTTTTCTCTTCTGAATGCATCCAAAGCTTTAATATATTTTGCTCAGTTAAATCTTTCCCTTTCTTTTAACTCAAGTTTCTGTCAGCTTCTTTCCCTCACACTC